ATATTATATTATATTATATTATATTCTCTGGGTTTTTGTGGGTTTTTTAAATTTAAAATAAACCTGGCTAGGATATTACTGCTTATCCAAATAGCTGTGAAATATGCTGTCACTATTATAAAATTTTCTATGGCACACAATGCCAGAGTTTCTTCCATTATTCACGTTATTCTGGAAGCTGCTAGGACATGACGTAGTCTGCCCAGGACATCTCAGCAACACCTATGTTCTGAAAGGGCAGACACTTCTGTCGGTTTTATGCATGAACAGATCAATCAACATTTTTGAAAGGATGTTACTAATTTGTTGGTAGTTACTCCACAAGCTTACCCAAAAGCTGTTTAGCGAAAGAGCTAGCAGTCCTTTTCCATCAATTCAAAGAACACAACTGCAGTCTGGCACAAGCACAAAGCTAATAATCTGTCAGCCTGGGATCAGTAACTTCTGCTGGTAAAATACTGAAATTCTGCCCATCCATGCCATTCTTTTACCTTTGGCAAGACATTCCTTTTCCCAAGCTGATTCCTGAAGAGGCGGTGGTGTTATCAAAATAATCCTATCTTCCGTAATGTCTACTGACTTCAGATACTGTATCATGCTCTTTAAGTTCGCAGCATATTCCTCCAAAGGAACGTGTTGCTTAGGGTTCAGATCTGTTAGGGGATGGAGCACATGCATTAGTGACGTTAAACTGGTTACGGATTTCTTACACAACACAATGTGCTTTTCACAGCACCTGAATGTGTGCACTCATTTTCAGTAAGCAGTTCACCTCAACCATTGATTCGGGAGGTGTGGTAGGAAAATGCCATTCCTCAATATCCAAAGCAATCAAATCAAGAGTTTAAACACAGCACTTACAACTAAACAAATAAGGCACAGGGGGAAAAAAATTCACCTTTTTTTAAGGATGTTTTTTCTTACAACTCTGTATCTTCGTATTAGATCACATATCACCTCAAACCTCACCTGAAACAAAAACTAAGATCTTTAACTCTCTTGGATGCACAGAAAATTTTTGAAATTCCTACGGATGTACAGTCAGTCCTTCATGCACTGATGCTGTCATTTTGATTAGACTAGCTCTGCATGCTGCTATGCTTATCTTAAAGAGAATCCAAATGCTACCTTCCCTCACTTCCTCAACCCACCTGCCAAGAACTCACCAGACTGCTTTAAAGGCAGAAAAATCAGCTAGATGCCCAACTTCAATTTTAGGTGATGAATATATGACTAATTCTTGAGCACCTTTAAATTTACTTTTAATATTAGAACTTGGTGAGAGGGAGAGAAATAGAAGGCACTACATGGTTTAAATACAAATAAAATAATTGAAAACAATCCACTGTAAAAATGAAAAAAAGGACAACTGCTTCATAGAGAAGCATCAGAAAAAGTCTGTGTAACATTCTGCCTTTTCTGCTAAACTGCTAAACTGTCTTAAGAGAACAGGTCACAGAAAAAAAAGAAAGCTACTGTACCTTTCAAAGCACTGTCATTAGCTCCAAAGAAAATAGTAACTGCAACAGTACTCTCAGCACCAGCACTTTTACTGATCAGTCTTGGAAGGAGCAGTTTAGCCCATCTGGTGTTGTACCCCGAGAGCCCACGGTTCACAACATCGCATTTTCTGAAACAGAGACACGTATCAAAAAGAACATCTCTCCTCTGTCCACCAGAGAAAAACTTGGGAAGTTTTGAACCATTCTGTCAGGATACCTCCCTCCATCCCTCTCAGCAGCAATGAGATGTCACAGGAGTTTTCAGTGTTTTGAAAGTGCACGCATAGATTGCAGGTGTAGTATTTACCCGTCACTTAAACTATGAAACTACAACAATCCTGACAATCGCTAAGGATTTTTTTCTTTCCACTCAAGCTTTGAGGGGAAAGAAGCACCCAGTGAGCATTTCCACCAGTATTGGGCAGGTTACCACTAAGGCAGTTCCACTCGCATGAATAAATAAATGTTAATAAATAAATATACATTAAATATTCACTCATGATGGTTTTCTTTTAGAAAAGCTGCACATCCTGCATGCTAAAACTTACGTTTGAAATTTAAGCTCTTACCTGACCAGTCTCTCAGCAAGGGATGCCCCCCAGCCATTTTCCTGGAAGGAGAACTGAAAGCAAGGAACATGGTTAGACCATCACTGGAAGAACTTGGCCCCCAGCAGGTCAGTCCCACCACCAGCACCTTCCCTCCTGAAAAGCTTTTTGTTCATGGCCTCTGGCACAGCTACAGCAGCACCTCCTCCCTCCCAGCCTGCCCTGTCCCTGCAGAGGCCAAACAGCCCAGGTCTTACCTAGACACACGACTGGCATCAGAGGCAACATGGGACCATACCTACAGAGGGACAGACCCTGTGGTCCCTTCATAATCAAAACTGATGGCTTTCAAGCTGTAGTTTCATTTGGGCTGGTGAGGCTTCCCCATCCACCTTCATTTCCTACTTTATTTCCAAGATCCTTTCACTGTATCTTCATTCTGGAGAGCACCTCTCAAAAATCCTCTCTCCACAAGCTGCTTCAGGGTGCAGTTCGATACCTGCCTCTTCTAGTAGTGGAAAAATTAACCCCTTCTCCTTATTCCCACCGCTGCAGCATCCTCCCTGTTTTAATGCTCCGCCTGCTTACAGAGCTGCACAGTGAGCTGGTTTAGGCAACTGAGCTCCCATTAAAGATAACCTTTGTCTTAAAATCTCTTTTCAGCCCAGCAGCTCTGTGACCCACTCCACCATGCACTAGCAGGCAGGCACCCAAAATGAACACTGAAAAGCTGGTACTGCTTCAAATGAGAAGTTCACCAAGCCGTGATTTGGTCACATCAACACAGAACGTGTCTCCAGGGTGTGTGTGCTCCTGCAGGGAGCTACATGGAGGGGCTGCACCAGGAGCTGGGCACTGGAACAGGCATGGGGTGGACGGGAGCAGTGCAGGGGTCAGAGCAGACAATAGGTTGTCCTTCCCATCTGGAAAACACTGCCACCAAAATACCTGAAGCTATACTTCTACCAAATCATGCTTCTAACCCAGGAACTTCACAAATCTCTGTGAAAAGGCTCTAAATCTCATAAAAGACCATCAGGTGTGAAAGCTCCATGAACACCCTCATGGGAGATCCAACAGGGACATAACTATGCTGGGCCACGCTCCCATTTCACTGGTCTCCTTCCCACCTCGTGGTGCCAGGACGATCCACACCAACTTGCCCCTGTCAAACAGGTTTATACAGCAGTCTCAAGGGGATGGCTTGCCCTGGCTGCCTGACAGCAGGCTGCCAGAGTGGCTGGCAGTGCAAGGAGAGCAGCTCATGGGGATCTGTCAGCAAGATTCCCCCCTCTACTCTGCTCTTGCTAGACCCCCACCTGGTGTCCTGCATCCAACTCGGGGGTAGGAGGACACGGACCTGTTGGAGCAGGTCCAG